ATGTAAATAAATTTTAATTATTTGTTTAGAAAAATGCAATTATCTTGAAACAATGGAATTGAAAAATTTCAACAATCTTATTTTTAGGAATTTAAAAAAAAAATTTTGCGAAAATTCAATTTTATTAAAACATTGAAAGTGTGTATCTTTTGTAAAATTAACTAATAAGATTTTAAATTGAATAATCTTCGCAGTGATAAACAAGAATATATTAGAATGTGACTCTTTATGGAATCCAATTATTAATTAATTACCAAACTAGTTATGGATACGCGCGCTAAAGCGCGCGTGCACGTTTTCCAAGGTTTGATAAAAAACGATTTAAAAAAAGAAAAATGCAGAATTTCAATTAGAATAAATTTTTATTAAAATTTTAATTAATTAATAAATTTTTTTCAATTATTTAAACATTATTATTATTATTATTTAAATGTGACCTGGTCTAAGAAAAGTAGGCAAAAAAATTCTTTAAAAAACATGACATAGTAAAGTCTGGGATAGGAAATTCAAGACGGTACGCTTAAAAACAATTTAATTCAGAAGTCTTTGCATCTGGGATTTTCTTCTTGATTTGGATTCTAAACTATAAAAAAAATGATTTTGCAACAAAAATTAAATTAATAGCTGGAGTCTTTTTAAGAATTATCGATTTTATTTTATAAAATAATAAAAATTCAATTTTACTACCAAAAATTTAGATTTTTAAAAAAGTTTTATATATAAAAATATCAAAAAGAAAATTCCAGATGCAAAGATGCTTTGAGTAAAATTATTTTCAAGCTCACCGTGATAATTTTTAATAAATTTTAATTTTTTCGACTACCTTGTTTGCATTTAAGGCCTCTTTTCTTAGACTATGTCCCATTTTACTGAAAAATGATTTATAAATGTAAAAAAATCAGGCTGTTTTTTGTTTCTTCGCCTTCTGTTCTATATCTTCAATGTCGATTTTTTCAATATTTTTAATCCCTTTTGATAAGGTCTTGGGATCAACTTCCTCCCCTCTAATTTTTATCACATCTTGGAAAGATCCTACTTCGAGAAATACTGAAACTAAATTAAAAATTATATTATAATTTATTATTATATAATTAAATTATTATTTAAATTACATTAAAAATTATCAAGAAAATCACACAAATCTAATAAAAAAATATATTAACGTACCTCCAAAATTCATCGTCCCAATGATTTCCAATTTATCTCCTTTCTTGTAGAAATCATTAAAATTAGAGACATTCACATCTGTTACATGAAATTCTAATTTATATGTTCCATCAGAGATTGATCCACAGACGAACTTCGGAACACGATTTTGGCCGACGATTTTTTGCAGATCGGTTTTTAAATATCCCACGGTTTCTAAAATAATGAATTAATTTTATATTTTATGAAATTAATATTCACTCTAAATTAACATTAATTAATACATTATATTTTAATAAATATAAAAAATCCAGGGTGGTGACTTGATCGAGAAAAACTGGAAAATGACCGGGAATTTTTTTAATTAACTGGGAAAAACCTTTAAATTCATCATTGAACCGGGAATTTTTTTGATATTTATTCAAGTTCTTAATAGAAATTTTTTTATATCAAAATTTCAAAAATTTGCGGATAAAAATTTGACCGGAAAATACAAAAAAATTGACCGGGAAAAACCGGGAATTTTAAAAAATAAAAAAAATCACCACCTTGAAATCTCTCATTAAAAAATAATAAAATTACATTTATTAAATCATTTAATTCTATTATAACTGGTTTTTTTAAATATTAAAAAAGTGAATAATTTTTCGAAAATAACTGATAAAAAATTATGAAAATTATAAAAAAAAAATTATGTAAAATAATTAAAAAAAACAAATTTGTTTATTGATTTATTAAAAGTAATTTAATTTTGAATTAAATAAAATTTGATTTTTTTGTTTTAGTAGATTAAATTTTAAGTTAATTTATTATATAATGCATTATATTAAATATGCATTAAAATTTGTATTATTAATATAATTAATAGATTATTATTGAAAATTCAAATTAATTATAATTAAAATAATATTTCAATAAAAATTACTTGTAATAATAATTTATTTTTATATATTTCAAAATATAATAATTCAAATTTTACTTTTAAAAAATGAAATATTTAAATTATAATTTTTTAAAATATTGTTCATTTAAAACAAAGAAAAAAATTTTTTAATTAATTTAAAAATATATAAAATTCTAATACCAGTTAACTTTAATAAATAAGAATTATGTAAATAATTATAATAATATTACTAATTCTTTTAGATGTTGCTTTTCCCAAATTTTCCAAGCTCCAGTTTTCAACGCTGCTTTCCTTCCTTGTATTAAAAGTTCCCAAGACAGTAATTTTAGTATTGGATTGAATACTCAATTCAAATTGTTGATTCCCACCTTGTTTTGTTTGGGCGTAAGAATTTAGAGGTCTTACGGAAATGGCATCAAGATGCAGAATCTATAAATTTATAATAATAATAATTTTAAATAATAATAATAATAATAATAATAATATATAATTTAATTTTGTTTGTCAGGAAAAGAAATGATTTATCGATTAATTTATTGAAATTTTGTAATTAATTGCAGGAATCACAGTGGCATTTCCATTTAAAAATTGAAAAAAAAATGAAATTTTTATTTTAAAAAGGGGGGATTTTTCCTTTAAAAAAGGAGGATTTTTAAAAACACGAGAAAAATTATTTTATTATAACATAAAGTGTTTATTGTTGATAATTTTTTACGTGGTCTTTAAACAGTTTTAAACATTTATTTAAAAATGTCAAGTGACAAAGTTTCGATATTTTTATTTTTTTGAATTTTTGAATAAATTTATAACACCGTTCAAAAGTCTCATAAAAAATTATTAACAGTATAAACAACAAACAGACGTAAAAAATAAATAAATAAAATTTACAAACAATACAGAGTTTATTTTCCAGAACTTTTATTTTTATTTTATTTTAAAATTTTTTTTTTTTTAACTTTTATTCTATTTATTTTTCTTGTGTTATTTAAACATTTCACAAAAATAAAAACTTATCAACAAAATTGAATCAAATTTTTTTCTTAAAAAAAATTAATTTACTGAAAAAAAGGGAAAAGGAGAGAAAATATTTGAAAATAGGGGATTTAGGGGTGGATCTTTTTTAATTTAAGAGAAAGAAAGAGAAAAAGGAGAGTAAGAAAAAAAGAGATTAACTGTAATCACTGAAATTGAAAGATAAAGGAAAGAAATTATTTTAATAATTGAAAATTGAGGGCCTATCAATTTTCTTTTGAAATACAATGAGAGTGAATGAAACTGGTCTAAAAAAAGTTTTTTCTGATATTCCAATTTATTTCTAGACTTTATAAATAATTTTCCAGATTTTAAAAATTGTCTTAGTGAGTTAGAACTGAATTTCTTTATCATTTTTAACTATAAAATTATTGAATGCAGAAATCTAAAAAAAAATTCGCATATTTTCAAAAAATTGTACTGGTATTTCAAGCTTTTTTAAAAGAAACTTACAAAATTAGGTCGAATTGAAGCTTTCACCCTTTCGATTTGCTCTTGCCAAATTTTTACCAGAATGTCAGCTCCGTTGTCGTTGCTAAAAATGCATCTTTGCAAATAACATGACCCTGCTTTCTTCGGCGCTTCTATTTTTTTGACATAAAGAATTAATTCGCTGAAACAAAAATATATTTCAATAAATATAAAATACACTACATAGTTAATTTTTAAAAATGATATATACTTACGCTGTTGAATCATGAATAGTGATTGCTTTGATATCTTCGTTAGACGAAAGTTCCATTTTTTCCATGATTTAGTTTTTGAAGGAAATTTTCGAAGCACACACTTTGACACAAAATGTCTGAAAATGCTTTTAAATATGAAAAACAAAAGAACATAGTTTTCGATGAAACGTTTATTGCTCTTCATTTATTTGAAAATTTTCTTTTTCGTTTAAATTCAAATTTTACGGTTAGCATTCGTTTACTTAAACCCGCGAATTGCAAAAAAAAATTTATTTAATTATAAAATAAATTTTTTAAAAATTGGAAAAAAAATTTTTAATTTCAGGAATTGAATATTGAAAGCATTAACATAGTATTAATTGTTTAGAAATAATTAAATTTTAAATAATTAATTAGTAATTAATTTTTAATTTTTGTGAATCGAGTAAAACGTTTTTTAGTTGTTAAAATTTAATTTTTAGATAGATACTTTTTTTAATCGTGAAGCAATTTTTTGCTCCTTTTTAAAAATAAATTATTGAATGCTAATTCTGAAATTGAAAAATTTTTAATTACATTTCAAAAAAATTAATATTTTGATTAACGTTATAAAAAATATAAAAATTATCAATTATATTATAGTAATAATAATAATATTATAATTATTTATTATTTTTACAGTAATATAATAATATAATAATATACAACTAATATAAATTAAAATTTTTTAATAGGTTTAGGTTCTTTATATTAAAGGTGCTAGAGTAAAGAAAATTAAATATCAAAAATTCAGCATTAATGTCGAAAAATACGAATTTTTTATTCACAAAATTACCAAAGTAACAAAATTTGGTGTAATGATTCAATTTTCAATTTGTTTTAATTTTAAGTATATTGTGGTTAATAATGTTTAAAAATTAATGATCATATAATTTAATAATAAGTATTATTATACTTTTGAAATAAACACAATTTTTGAAATTCGAATTTTTTATATATAGGTATAATTTTAATAAAAGTAAGAAATTAATTTAAAATAATGAATATTATAAAAATATAATATTATTTATTGAATTGAAGCTAACAAATATAATTAATACATTTGATCTATATTTTTCTCTATTTTATTAATTTATTTATTAAAAATAATAATAATTCAATTTTTTACAAAAATCTTATACATAATTTTTAATTATAACATGGTTAATATTTTTGAATTGAATAAAAAATAAAAAATTATATATATGTTTTTAACAGATTTTAAGTTAAGAAAAAAAGAATTTGCACAAAGAATTTGCTTCGTTGCTTAGGATGAATATCATTTTTTGATACTGGTTATTATCACCGCAACTTTGTGGAGCAATAATAGTCTTCACAAAACCTGTAACTTCTCTGTAAAAGAATTATAAAATTTAAAAAGTAATATAATTTTTATTTTTAAAAATTAAAACGATTATACTTACGTGCTCCAATTTCCAATTCTGATTGAGGCAATTTCCTCATCTGAGGTGTAGATGATTTCTTCTTCTTTCTCAGGAGCCAATGATGCAATTTTCTCAGTAGATGTGGTTTCTTTTCTGAATATTTTTACAAAACAATGAAAGTTATTTTGTTTTTTGAAATAAGAAATTGACAAAATCTCTTTTTAGAAGACTTTTTTTATCATAAGGGGTCGTCCATATACCACGTGGACAGTTTTTCAAAGATTTTTGACCCCCCCTCCCCCCTTGTGGACACAAAAATACATGGGATCGTGGACATTTTCAACCTTTTTTTAACCCCCCCTCCCCCCAAAAGTGTCCACGTGGTATATGGACGACCCCTAAATTATAATAAATTTTAAGAATTAACAAATAAAAATTTTAATTTAAATAAATTTTATTTTAAGATATTATTATTTAAAAGAAATAAAAATTAGAAAATTAATTATTTAGGGAAAAAAACAACAAATAATCGATAATTTGTAAAAGGGATAAAGTAAATAAGTTTTATATTTACTCATTTAAATCGAGATAGTTATTCTTTCCAACCTTGGATTGCAATATCCTATCCATGTTTACATCATTTGTTTCTTGAAATGAATCAGATTTTTCGAGATGACTGTTTTCCTCAACCATGGATTGCAACATCTCATCCATGCTTGCATCGTTTAATTGTTGAGATAAATCAGAATCTTCATGATCAATAACAAATTTTGAATTTTCTTTAACTTGCGAATCCATATTTTTAAAATCTGAAAAATAAATAGAATAAAGGGAAGTTCACCACAGATCTCTTTGAAAAATTTTAAAACTTTTAAATCACTTATAAGATTTGCAAAAATTGATTTGAGATATCCTTGAATGTTTAAATTAACAAATTTTTCAGCTATTTATTATTTTATTAAAAAATAATTTTTATTTATTATTCTTAAATAATATTGTTTTTGGTTTCACGTAAGTCTTTTTGGAATTATTATTTCTAAAAACTTCTGTGAGTATATAATTTCATCTAATATATCCGATTATTATTATATTTACATTTTTCAAAAATAATTTGTTTTTCATTTCTTATTAAAGTATATATAAATACCTATAATAATTTTAGAAAATGGACAATACAGAGTTGACACAAAAATCTATTTTCTAATTTCTCTGATTTTCCCTAACAAAAATTTTTTATTTCATATAACGAATTTTATCAAAAATTGAATCTCAAGGTGACCACCAAAATTTAATTTCATTTTTTTATGATTTTTTAATTTCTACCAAGAATTTAAAATTTTTTCGTGATCCACTTAAACAATTTTCAAGACTGTTCATTATAAGAAATAAAATAATTTTTAAAAGTAAAAATGTGAATACAATTTTTTTAAAATATAATTTTTAATGCATTTTTAAAAATTACAATATAAATAACAAATTTTTAAAATTTAACTATTTAAAACATTTATCAATAAAAAGTTGTATAAAATTAAATTATTGTGAAAAATTTGTAAATATAGTTTTGTACAGTTCAAATATATAAAAATTTCAAGTTCAACTATATTTAAATTAAATTATTTAATAAAAATAAAACTGTAGCTATTCCAAAATTTAATTCTTAAGAAAAAAATTGTAATTTAAAAATTATGTCAAATTGAATTATTTTCTGAAATATGTAAAAAAAATATTCAGCAATTGAAATTGACAAAAATTTTAAGTTGAATGGCAATGAACTTCAATTATTAAAAAAAATTAAATTCTTTTTAAAGTTTGAATAATTAAATTTTAAACTTATAAAAATTTAAAGTACTTTCATTTTTATAGTTTTAAATTTTAATAAATTAAATTTAAACTATTTTGATTAATTAATGTTTTCATTAATAAAAATTAAAATTGATTAAATTATAATAACTGATTAAACTTTAAAATAATTGAATTTTTAATTAAATAAAACTTGAAATGCTTGGAATTTTAATTTGTTAAAATTTAGAATAATCAGAGTTGTCATTAAAAATTTATTTTGTTTTTCCCTAACACAAATTAAAAAGTTTGAAAAGATTTGAAAATGCGTGCTTTTCATTACTTCTGTAATTTCTGTTGAAATAAAGAAGCAAATTTTTTCCTTTTAAAAGAAAGCAATTTTTTCTCTGAGAGATATTTTTTTAATCAAATTCGAGAGAGACAATATAAACATAACCTATATGCATGATTAAACAAAAATTTTCAATAAAAATAATAAATAAAATATATACATTTAAAATAAAGATTTCTGCCGACAAAATGGAATATAAATAGTACACTTTCTTTCACGGTTCATTTGTTTTTGTAAAGAGAAAATTTTCTTTGTATTAATAAGATAATAAATACATTTTTTAAAAAATAAAATATTATTAATTAATAAGCATTTTAAATTTCAGTGAATAACAAAAATTGTCTTTTGTTCTGAAAAAGAAATATCGTGTGTGTATCATTGAATGGAATAATTTTGGAATAATGTGCAAAAATAATTGACGCGAAGAGAAAAGCAAAGTAATTTCTTGAATTTATGAGAAGATAAATTAACATAACAATTGATTGCTTACCTTTAAAATAAAGATTTTTGCCAACGAAATGAAATATTAATAAAACACTTTCTTGCACTCTGATATTTTTAGGGGATATTACAGAAACTCACAATAGAAAGCACGCATCGAAAGAACCACCGACTGAAAAACAAACATTATACACAATTTAAGCGAGAAACAAAAGACACATGGGCAAGATCGAATATATCGAAATAATCGAATTGCGATAAGTTGTAAATAATGTAATAGATGGAACTGCGGTTGTCTAATTATTGGCGGTAATTTTTAAACATAAGTTAAAAAAATAATCGAAAATTATAATTAAATGAAAAATATTAAGATTCTTCATTACAAATATTATAATTTTGAAAGTGATAATACCAATTGGCAATTGAGTTTCCTGAATAAATTAAGGCTTTTTATCAATACTTTTATAAGTTAAAATAAAAATTGTAACAGAAGAATGATATAAAAAAATTTTTTTTTTAAAAAAAGTTAAATTAGATGTTTAAAGGAATAACTAAATATAATTTCATTATTAATGTAAGAAATATTAAAATTATTCTCTTAAATTTAAATTAGTCTTTTATTTTTGATATTTTAAAAATCATATTTCTTCTAGTAAGCAATTTAATTATTAAAAACTTTAAGATTTATTTGATTTCAATAAGTATATTTCAAATAATTCATATTAGTTCAATGAAAAACATATTTTTCAGCTCGAAATAAAAATATTTTTAAAAAATGTTGTTCAAATAATTATAAAATAAATTATCAAGGCTTTTTTTTCAACACAATAAGTAAAGATTTTTAAAAAAAATTTATAAATAATAATGTAAACAAAAACTTACCTCATATTTAACTGGTCCTCCTCTCATTTAATGTGTATAGAAAAATAAAAATAGCGGAAGCTTTCTTCTTAATCATGAAAATCATTATCCTTAGTTGTTTGGTTGGAGTTTTCTTATAAATTGATAATCCTATTTTGAGTTAACATTTTTCCTAAACAATAGACTTAATCGAGATTCTATAAATTATTTTTGAAGGACAACTAAAACAATAAAAATTAGTTAGTAAATAATTAATAATATGAAATTATTATATTACATTAGTATATTGTCATTAACATTGTTATTATTATTTGCCATTATATAATAATAATCATTTTAATATCATCATTGTCATTATCAATGCCATTAATTTTTATAAAACTATAATAAATATTGCCATTAGTATTGCCATTAATATTTAGTTTAGAATATTATAACAAATATTGCCATTAAATTTTATAATATTATAATAAATATTTTTTTCAAAGTATTTCATGATAAACGATATTTTTGACATACAATTTTTCTGGATATTCTAAATTTTTGTATACTGCAGAACTAACCGCTAGAATTTTTAAATTTTCCTTAGATTTAACTCGAGAACCACCAACATAAACTTGACCATGACCAAATGCTGAAATTGGTAAATATATTCCTACTTTATCAAATAATTGGCCCTGAGATTTATTAATAGTCATTGCATAGGCAAGTCTAATTGGAAATTGTCTTCTGACCATTTTGAAAGGAGGTGCGTCTTGTGAAGGCGATAAATCAATGCGAGGAATAAAAACTACTTCACCGTCAGATTTTCCAGAAATAATTTCTGCCAAAATTACATTCTGCAATAAAGATTTTACAACTAATCGAGTACCATTACATAATCCCTGAGCCAAATTCAAATTTCTCAACAACATAATTATGCATCCTACTTTCAACGGCAATTTATGAGGAGGTAAACCATCTGGTGTTAAACTATTTAAAAATTCTATTGGAATGAGATTATTTAGATTTTCTGGATTATCATCATCAACATGTGAATCATTACTATAATAAACTACTTCTTCTGCTTCTAATCTTGACAAAATGCATTCATTCATGTCCAATACTTCAGCATTAGTTAATGAAAGAATACAAGAGGAGTAAACAGATGAATCATTTGGACTTATCGAAGACCCATATATTTCATCAATTAAATTCCCATTTGAAATTAAATCTTTTGGAATTTCTAAAACATTATTTTCTTTCTCAAATGAACTTGTAGGTTTACCATCACCGACATTTAATAACCAATTTGAAAACTCGATCTGATCATTATTCAATCTGACATTAGCATGTAAAGATCTACTCTCAAAATGTTGCCATAATCTACTATTTTTCACACACACCTCAACAATGTGAGTACGATTACCGTGAGGAACAATAGGTAAAGTTTGTCGAAAATCTCCTGAAAGCAAAATAACTTTACCTCCAAAAGGTTTACTACATTTTGTTATATCTCTCAACATACATTCCATTGCTTGTAATGCATACTTAGGTGCCATTGTTATTTCATCCCAAATAATAATTTTGGCTTTTCTAAAAATTTCTGCATGTTTTGACATTCCACTAATATTACATTTTGAATCTTCATTAATTGGTATAGGAAATTTAAACATATTATGTGACGTTCGACCACCTTTTAAAAGGTTAGCAGCTATACCAGTCCATGCAACTGATAAAACTATCAATCCCTGACTTTCAACAGTTGTAATAATTGTATTATGTAAATAACTTTTACCACTACCTCCCGGTCCGTCAAGATAAATATATCTATTTTCACAATTATCATCATATACTGCCATCAAAACATCATCAAAAACTTGACGCTGTTCGTTATTTAAACTTTCAATAAGAATATTAGATTCTTCTTTAAGCAATTTTAATGCTAATGCATTATTTTCCGTATCTACAGAATTATATTGTTCAAGAAGTTTCTGATCTATATTAGGCAAACCAAATTGATGTAATGAAAATCCATGAAAATTAAGTACTTCATTAATTAAAATTAACGACTTTTGAATTGATACCTCCGCTGGTAAATTATTATCAAAAATCATATCATCTTTATATTTATTCCATAAATCAATAGCATTCGCAGGCAATCCAAATACACATATGTATGCAAATAATCTACAAAGTTCTTTAGGAAATTTCAAGTTTACAGCTTCAGTTAAACAATTATCCCATTCATTATCATCAACCATTAAATTTCTGGCACGAGCTGCTTCCGTAAAAGAATTATATCTTATACCTTCATACGTTCTTACATCTTCAAATGATTTAGCACCACGTACATAAAGTAGTAAAGTTCTCAACCAATATCTTTCAATATCTTTTGGACTTACAAAATACATTCGAGAAATTAAAGGTTTGGTAATCCGTTCTCTTTTTTTCCAAGTTTTTGTTTGTTAAATGAATACATAATTGTGTGGTATTTCTGAATATAAATATTTGTGTGCCTCAGGATCTTTTTTATTTAACTCAAACCATGCTGTTAATGTCGTATTTTTAAATGTGTCAATTGCCTGTTGTTCCATTCCTTCTGTGAAGCATATTGTTTGATGATCAGGTAAATGTACAGCTAATCTATACGTTGCATGTGATTGTTCATGCATATTAAATTCGAGTAGTCTATGCATTGCTTCTGGTGGACATACATAGCGTGTGTTTAAATAATGTTGCGGTTCATCATAATTCATTACCTGATTATTATCCTTAATACCTACTATCGCACAATCATGACCTTTATAACAATATTTAAATAAATATTTAACACCACCTATGCTACCGCATGCTACAACATTAATATGACAAGCAAATTTTTTACTTAAATATGGGTTATATGGCACAATCATTGAATTGTCTGCAGTGCATTTAATTGAACCATCTTTGTTATAAAATATAATTTTTCTGCCATCATTTCTTCGTCTATATTCTGGATAATTTTTCGAATAATCTGTTTCTGAAGTAAATGGTTTCGGATAATGTTTAGTGCAAACTTTTGTTTCAGGATTCATGCACGGTGAATTCGTGTTTTGCTTTCCGCAAGGTCCATGAACTTGAAACTGTTTTACAATGTTAAAAAGTTCTGGATGTTTTGCTTCATCAGGAATTTCTGCACAAATTATTTTATCAACAGTTTCTGCATCACGAATAGCATGTGATTGATCTAAAAAGACAATTAAATGTACATGTGGTAATCCACGCTTTTGAAATTCTATCACATATACATAAGCAATAACTGGTCCAAAAATTTGGTTGTCTTTTAATTCAATCATTAGCGCTTTTACTTTTTGTTGGAAAACTCTTGCAACAATATCTGGCCGATCAGATGCAGTTTCACCACATAAAAAATTTTCTGTAATTTCACACCATTTCGGATTACATGTCATGGTAATAAATAAATCTGGTTTTCCAAATTCTTGAACTAATCGCATGGCATCCATAAAAAATTGTTGGTAAGAACGTGGTCCACCAGTAAATGTTGATGGTAAAACAATTATTCTTCCTGGTCGAACATTTTCTTCTGCAGCTTTATTATATAAATAATCCATCAATCCACAATACAATTCAGCTCGAAGTTTTTTTTGATTCGAATATATGTAACTGATACGCAAACCTTCCACTTTCGACCAAAAATCAACTATCAGTTGTTGAGTTAATTTGCCCATTTGCAAACAAGGATTAAATTTTCCTCTATAAGAAAGACGAAAAATGTAAAACTGTAAAAGAGTAACATCACGATCAGTGCCTCCTTTCTGTTTTATATTTACTGTCCATCCTGGATCACCTGCAGGAAACACTAATGGATATATCATGGGATCAGCATTTGCACTGAGATTGTGAATAGGAATACTTTTATCATTTCTTGGATGTATACATATATCACGTTCTACTGGAGGTTCACCATCTTCACTAACGAATACAACTGCCACCTCATTACAAGACGGAACATTAAATTTGCTTTGATGCAATGATCTGTCTCTTTTTATCCACATTTGAATATCTCTCATAGGTTCATTTTGCAATTTCGCTCGTATTTCTTCTTCTAATTCTACTTCTCTCATCATTTTAAATGCTTTAGCGTAAGGATTAATATATCTCAACAATTCGTCTATTTCTTTCATTAATGATGGTAAAAATTTCTTGTTAGAATCATGTTTCAATCGTTCAAGAACTGCTTGATTAGTATCAAGAATGTATAGTTGTCCATATTTTCGACTTTCACTATTATTAGGATGAAGATCGTATGTATTGTGATACACTTGTCCATGTATACGAAAAACAAAAGGACCTCTTCCTTTAGGAATTTCTAATTTAGCTCCCATGCTGGCAAAGGCGGATGCACTATTATACGAACGAATATTCTCTCTAAAATTTTTACCTTCAGAGCTAGAATCAAATAATAAATTTTGTAAATAATCTGGATAAGGACTTAAATCATTTAAAATAACTTTTCCCTTATGGCAGCAAGAGTTAAATAATTTATCTGCTGGCAATTCACTCAAAAAATGTAACGCACCGCAAAACTGACACACAACATTCATCAAACCTAAGTAATTTTGAGAAACTATACTTTCTTCAAAAGCTTCGAGGGACTTAATTGCAACACCCGTGGTTTCCAATTTTTTATTGTTTTTCTTATTCCTTTTACTTTGTGAACATTTTTCTTGTCGTTGTTGCTTTTTTTCTTCATTTTCTAAAAATAATTGCTTTGTTTTACATAACAAATTTTTTTCTTGACGCTCTTTCTTTTCATCTTCTGTTTCTTTAGATAATTTTTTTTTTGCATATCAAATCTCTCTGTTGGCGTTCTTTTTTTTGAACTTCCATTTCTATCTCTCTACTATGACGTTTCCTTAGTCTATCATTTTCTTTTCCAATTATTTTCTGTTCATCCGTTTCTTCACGCCTTGCCTTCCTCATTCTTTCTTTAGCTTTCATTGCACGAAGGATCTTTTTATCATTTTGTTTATCTAGAGGATTCTCAATTTCTGGATGTTTAACTAATGAAACATTTTTAACATTATCACTAGTTACACGAAGTTTCTTCTTTTCACTTTCATCATTTAAAGAGTGCTTGATATTTAAATGTTTATCTGATAGAACTCTCTTTAAATTATTACGTGGGGGAATCTCAGAAAAACGAGAAGGGTTTGGTTTACCATTTTGAACTCGGTCTCTAAAAAAACTATTCTCGACAATCAAATGTCTAATATTAGACGCTCTCACTGACGGAAAAGGAGTTAGACGATTATCTTTATACATTGTTTCTAAATGATTTCTCATCGCATTATTACGAGTCTTATAATTAACAGTATTTGGCATTTCGTTAAAAAGTATAGATGTTGCAAACGCTATCGAATAAACTCCGCACTCAAGACTACCTAGAGGTTGTTGATCAACATCTACAAAAACTACTTGTGGGTGAAATGGAAACAATCTACTTAAATAACTTTTATGATCATCAGTCAAACGCCTTTCATTAACACTATCAAAAACATTCAATCTCACTCCATCGTAATAAGTACAAATCCAATGTCCCTTATTAGCAAAACCACTAAAAAGTATTTGAATATGTCTTTGACCTTCTCTAATCGGAACAATGAATTCAGGAGTTTGTAAAAGCAATGTACTTTGCATATCAAAAACAGAATTTGACTGAATTCGTAATAATTCTTCAAATTTAAACATATAGTTATCATTCAACATTCTTCCATACGTTTTTAATCTTTCATAATCTTTAATACTTAAAGCAATATACCTTGTCTGGACGTTGGCCATTATATTGTTTGTCAAAAAATGCACCAATGATGTTTTTCAAAACAAATCTTCTTTTTCAGCTTCTTAGCTAAAATAATAAATAATTCCTATGTTTTTCACGTATAAAAAATCAATTAATAACTAATAATCAGATAACACGAACACAAAATATAACGTGTCTCATTCTATCATTAATTATGAAAAAATAAATAAAATTTATAAAGGGCATCCGGGAAAAATAATAGTTTCGTGATCGCGCTCTCATTTAAAAGGAAAAGAATATTATTCTCTATTATACTATTATCACAGTAAATCGTGAGGTATTAAAAAGTGTTGCAGATTAAATTAACACCAAAAAAGATTAAAATAATCAATATTGGTGTTATTTTTTACAATTAATAAAATTTTAGTTCATTAAATTTTTTTATAACTATAAAACATGAAGATATCGATAACTCCGAGCCTTCGACTCGGAGTGATCGATTTCTTCATTTTTTATAATAATTAAAAATGACCGACTGACAAAATCATTATTTTATACCTATTATAATAATATTGTACTTCTTCAAAATTATTTTCATTATTTCAATTCAATTTTTATTTTCAAAAATTTTTAACTACAATTTTACTTTATATCTATTATTTTTAATAATTTTCGAAAAAGTTCTTTGGCAATTTTCAAATCCATTTGTTTACAAAATTTAATTTCAAGAAATTACAATTAATCCTAAATTCTTTAATTAAATGCATATTAGAAAATAAAAACTTCAAATAATAAAAAAAAAATCAATTAAACTTTTTCATGAAAATTAATTTCAAAATTCAATTATATCTAAAAATTCACGCTCAATTGCTTTTAATATTCAATAATAATCTAAAATTTTAACTAAAATTCATTTTTATGAAATGAAAACAAATTTTTATTAAAAAATTCTACAAGAATTTAATTATTTAAATGCAAAAGTAAATAATTTATTGAATAATTGAATGTTTCTCAAAATTCAATTCTCATAAAGAATTTTATTAACAAATTTTTAAATAATTAAATTCTTTTGTCGAATTTTATTAAAACTTGCATGAACATAATTACTTTTTTCAAGAAATTCAATTATAATTGTATGAAAAAATAATTGAAACGCTGCAATGAGTTTTATGAGAATTTTCAAATTCATTCGTTTACAATTCAAATTTACAAAATTTCAATTATTCGAAAATTCTGCAATTAAATATATATTGAAAAATAAAAATTATTCAATTATGTACAAAAATTTAAAAATATTCTTGTCAAAATTTCAATTATTTTTACAAATAATAAAATTTTTTAAAATACAATTATTTTCACAAATTTTAATAAAATTCTTGTCAAAATTTCAATTTTTTTTATTAATAATAAAATTCTTCGAAATTCAATTAATTTCAAAAATTTTAAAAAAATCCTTTACAAGAATTTAATTATTTTTGCAAATAATAAAATTTGTCACAAGAATTCAATTATTCTCGTAAATAATAAAATTCTTCGGAGAATTTCTATTATTTTCAAAAATTTTAATAAAATTTTTCGCAAGAATTCAATTATCATCGCATAAAAAATGCAATTCTTTGGAAGATTTTAATTATTTTCATTATTAATAAAGTTCTTTGGAGGATTTCAATTATTTTCAAAAATTTGAAACATATTCTTGTCAAGAATTCATTTTTTTCAAAAATAATTGAATTCTTATCAAAATTTCAATTATTTTCAAAAAAATTTTTAATAAATTCTTGTTAAGAAATCCTTTCAAAGTAAAATTCATCACAAAAATTATTTTAAAAATTATTTTAAAACTTTAAAAAAAATTCTGAAAAGAATTTAATTATTTTCTACAAATTTTAATAAAAATTTCAAATAAATTTTTATTAGTAAATTCTACGAGAATTCAATTATTTAAATACAAAAATAAATCATTTATTTAATTTCATGTTTCTTGAAATTAAATTCTCATAAAAAATGTTATCAACAAATTTTTTAAATCATTAAATTTTTTGGACGCATTTTAATAAATTTTTTTAAGAATAAGTGCATTTTTCGAGGAATTCGATTAAAATTGCATTAAAGATAATTGAAATTCTGCAGTGAGTTTTATATTTTATTATTTATGAAAATAATTCAATTCCTAAAAGAATTTTATTATTTATAAAAATAATTGAATCCCTGTAAAAATGTTATTATGTATTTTTGAAAATAATTGAATGTTTGCGTAGAATTTTATTCAAATTTTTTTTAATAATGGAATTCTTTTGGAAAATTTGATTGAAATAGTAGATATTGAAAATCATTGAATTGAGGAAAATTGCTAAAAATAATTGAAATTTTACCAAGAATTTCATTATAATATTTGAAAAGAATTGAATTTTGGAGAAGAATTTGATTATTTATAAAGAAAATTGGGATTTTTACGAAAATTTTTAAAAAAAATTTATCGTAATTTATTGAATACTTGCAAGGAATTTAAAATAACAGAAATTCTGAAAAGAAATTTATATCAAATTTGAATAAGAATTGAATTCTTTCGAGAAATTTTGTTAAATAAATAATTTAAATACTGTCAAGAAATTTATAAAAAAATTTGTAAATAATTGAATTCCTGCAAAAAATTTTATTATTTATGAAAATAATTGAATTTTTGCGCAGCATTTTATCCAAATTTTTTTTAATAATGGAATTCTTTTGGAAAATTTTATGGAAATAGTAGATATTGAAAATCATTGAATTTTAGAAAACTTTCGAAAATAATTGAAATTTAGACAAGAATTTGATTAAAATTATTTTGTAAAATAATTGCAAATAACAGAGAAGAATTTTATTATTTATAAAGAGAATTGAAATTTTCACGAGAATTTAAAAAAAATTTTGAACACAATTGAATTTAGTAACTATGTTACTAAGTTAGTTAGTAAGTTACAAGTTAGTAAGTAACTTACTAACTTACTATTCTCCCTGGAGGAGCTAAATTCGTTGAAGTTTTACAAATCGTTGACTTTGGTGTTTTATTTAAAGTAAAATTTCATTCATAGTTAAAAATAACACCAAAATAGATTATTTTAATCCTTTCTGGTGTTAATTTAATCCTAGAGGGATTAAACTGTTGCAGATTGTTTTAATCCATTCTGGTGTTATTTTAACACTTCACCTTTTACTGTGATTCTTTAAAATTCAAATATTGTAAAAAATTAATAAAATAATTAAAAAAGAACAATTTTATTTTTAACATAATAAAAAAAAATAATTTACAAGAATACTAAGTTCAAATATACTTTGAAATGCAATTATTTTTAAAAATAAATTAATTTTTGGTGTAAAATAATTTTAAAATTCAATAAAATTTGAAACAATTGAATTATTTTTTTCATTTTTGAAAAATTAATTGATTTTATTCAGAGTAATTAAAATTTTTATTAAAAACAGAATAAATTAATTTTTGAATTGATTAATAATTGTTTTGTTGATTTTTGAATAACTGAAGCTTTATTAAATTGAATAATTTTAAAAATTGCATTTTTCATTAATTTCATTTCAGATTAATTGAATTGCTTTGAAAACAGAATAATGTAATTTTAATGTTTTATATTGATTTCTGAATAATTAAAATATAAATTAATTAACAGTTTATAACAATTACATTTTTCATTAATTCAGGCTTAATTAAATTGTTTTTAAAAAAGAATAATGTAATTGTAAATTGATTGTTTTATTGATTTTTGAATAACTGAAGTTTAAGTTAATTAATTAACTTTTTATAACAAATGCATTTTTCATTGATTTCGGAATAATTGAATTTTTTATTTAAAACGAAATATTTTAATTTTGAATTGTTTTTTGATTTTTGAATAATTAATTAATTATTATTTTGAACAATTACTCATAATAGCAATAACAATAAAAAAAAGCACACGCACTAAAGGGATTGCTCTTCCCAAAAAATTTAGACTCTAGATCCTCCACTGCATAAGTTAATAATTGAATTGAAGATTAATTAATTCTTTGAAAAACTAAATATTAAAAAATTCATTATTTTGAATAATTAATTTAATGAAAATAATTTAATTTTTAATTGATTCTGGAATAATTGAACTTGAAATGGGTATTTTTAGGAACTAATGTTTTTTTACTAAACAGTAATTACTGGCAGTAACTGCCAGTAATTTACGAAAACGACCAATGTAATAAAATTTAGAACTATAGTATTTTTTATTGATACCAGAAAATTGAGTTTTTAAATTAAATTAAAATTAATAATAAATAAAAATAATAATAAGATATACGAATAATAAAAGTTATTTTTAGATTTTTATTTAAGAAATGAAATAAATTATTTAATTAAGAAGAAAATTTTAATTAATAATTAGAACTTACCAATCTACAGTTTTTTTCCACTGAAAACAATAACCTCCCTTTCGCACGATCGCCTGATACCAGAGATTTCACGCACAATATTCTTCCAAGTCACTATTTATCGTTTTTGAAATACACCCACTACACTGATATTATTATTAACAAATTTTATCACACTAATGATAAATTTGACAACATAAAATTGAAAATAGCAATCGCGACGCGTCATTTACGATTAAAAATTTCTTTTCTAGATGTCAAAACATGTCACGAAAAAAAAACAAAAACAAAAAAATCATGATAATAATAATTCGCAAAATGAATAATAATGTCAAACTTCATACTGCGAACAGAAAGAATGAAAAACCACAGAGATTAATATTGTTAATTAAAATTGTTAGAAAGTTCTATTTGCTAAAAAATTTGTAACGAAATTCTTTAACAAATTTAATAAAATATTATTGTCAGGCGAATTTCACAATGTAAAATTCCTGTTTAGTTTCCGGCTGAATAAATTTCCCAATCAATAGACACCCTGTGGAAAATTCAATGAAAGAAAGAAGAAATTATTGTCAGGTATAAAATAAATTGAATATTTTAGAATTTGTAGTTATTTCATAGTTTATGAGGCAAAAAAAAAATATCCAAAGAATGTTGACTTATTTCACTGCTGAAATTTCAGCAGTCAGTTTCACTGACTAAATTTCTGTCTCTCGTCGATTGTCTGTAAAATGCTTTTCTTTCCCTTGCGCTTTTCGATAACTCTCCTTGTTGGCATGAACTTGTGGGCAGCGGTTAATTTTCCTCATTTTGATGATTTTCCTCAAATTGAAGTTTTGGTAGAATTAAAAGTGCATAGTCAATGGGAAAGTCGTGTGCGAATATTAATTGCCAGAAGCAGTATTGCTCTAAAGAATCCCAATTTAAATTCGCCGTCAATAGAGACAAGAAGGATTCCTTTTAAAAATTTTTTTTAATGCCCTTGCATTGTTTGCCAAACTAGATCTTGCAGTTGACATCGCTCAACGATCGATACGAATAAATGTAAAAGATGAACATTTCCCAACGCTACATTTTGAAATTCCGTATAAACGTCCGTATATGTTATCTTCATGGCAAAGCTAAACACAAATTTTTATTTTCTTACTTTAAAAAGAAAAAACAAATTAAAATTTAAAAGCAATTATTTATCAATTAATTAAATTTACCTTTAAATCGTCCACCAAACAAGAATCCAACTTTGTCTCTCGTTGAGAACAAAAGTCTTTGCAAATAGAAGCCTTGACATCATTCAAAACGTTACTAAAAAGAAAGGACAATTTTTTTGTTTATTTAAAGAATAGAATTATTTTTCAAAAATTTTCAAGAAATTTTTTCAAAACAATTTGAATAAAATACCTGTCAGAAATTTAATTAATTTCAAAAATTTGTCAAAATTCAATTATTTTCAATGTCTACGATTTAAAGAAAATGTTCACAAAAGAATTCAATTATTTAACAAGAAATTTTAATAAAACTCATCTCAAAAATTCTTTAAATTAACCTGTACAAGTAAAATTAAATTAAAGCAATTAAAAATTATTAATTTATTGTTATTAACATATTATTTTTTATCTTTCATTAAATTTATAACCATAATCAAATTATATTTTATAAAATAAATATTGAACGAAATGTTTATAATTTTATAACATAAGATAACCTCCAATAATTTTTCTCTATTTATTATTAAAAAATGTTCTACTTACCATTAATAATAAATTAGTTTTACTCGACGCACACCTAACACTTTATTCATTCTCAAAATTTTTAATTTATCTTACAATTTAAATTATTTCTTTAAAATAATCCATTAATTATTATTTGTTTACATTTTACTGATGACCAATGATGACATTTTTTTATATGACAGTTGCTTGCGCATGGACTATAAGAATACAAGTTGCACCACATATATTTAATTTCTAGCAGCAACTTCAGGGGGAAGGCATTCACACGTTCTACTACGAATACATCGTCGGGTTAGCGCAATATCAGACTTATTCGACAAACAAAGCAAGAACATACTTATTCAGAAAAAAGGCAAGAACATGCTTATTCAAAATATAAAGTAAAAACAAACGAATTCGCAAATTAACCTTTTTAGTCAGATTTTAAATTTTACTTTTGTACAATTGTTTTACGAATAATAACTTTTATTTAGTTCCATTGAGAATAATTTTTTTAATATTTTGTTTTTCTAATATGAAAAGTATTATTGAAATAAAATTATAATATTCTTGATAATTTAAAGTCTGACTAAAAAGGTTAATTTGCGAATTCGTTTGTTTTTACTTTATATTTTGAATAAGCATGTTCTTGCCTCTTTTCTGAATAAGTATGTTCTTGCCTTGTTTATTGAATAAGTATGATATTGCGCTAACCCGACGACATGAAAACAACTCAGATATTCCTGACACGTAATAACAAAATAATGGTTGCCAGTTTTAACCATTATTTTCCACTGAAACTATTATTAACAATTTTTGTCTAAATTTTAGGTCTAAATAAAATTGATGACGCAACTTCTATTCCCAATTTGACAGACATAATTTCGAATATTTATATTCAGATGAATGAGCAAATCAAGGGCCAATTCAACAAAATTTTAAGACCAGAAGTGGATCGTCATCAGTTACTCAAAACCCATTGGTGAAGGAGTCCTTTCTTCTTCGTTTTTTTATTAACGAACCTAATTCGATTGCTATTTGGTAAATCAGACAAGGTAACACACCTCAAATAAATGTATCTTTTTCTTCTGATAGATAATAGATAACACAATAAGGCAAAAATTTAATTATTCTTATTTTTCTTTTCATATGTTAAATATTTAAAATTCGTTTGACGTGTGTTATCAGTTAAAATAGAAAATTAATGTTTACGTATTTAAATTATTTGTCTAAATTAATTCAACTATTTCACGTAAACAATATTGTAAATCTCATAAAATTTTCCAGACTAAAATATAAATTATTTAGAAAGGGGTATAAAATTAAAATACACATACTATAAAACAATTATTAAAATTATCCTCTTTTTAAATAAATAAATAAACTTCTCTGATGCCTTAAATTTACAGTATAACCTGCCGAAGTGCAACTCGATATTTTTAATTTTTTTTTGGTAAAACAGTACTTATAAAATTATTTTATAATTCAATTTTATGGTATTTTACAACATTTCAAAACTAAGTGAAAATAATTCTTGTTGGACATTATCGTAACAAAAATTTTACAAAAATTTTATATTTTATTTTTAATTTATTAAAATTAATTAATGAAATGCATGCTGAGCATTTTGCAATCGCGCAGAAAATGAACTCGGTTCAAAGACCGTAATCCTTTTTCTTCCGTCTGAAAGTACTATTTCAGCAATTAAAATATTTTATTTTCATGACTTTCAGGTAAATCAATCAATGAAGGGCTATCATTTTTATATTTTTTTATGACTTTAGAAACAACAACCACATAAGCAAATATATATATATATATATATATATATATATATATATATATATATATATGGGCAATTCCACGGGAAATTTTTCTATGACATTTTAGAATCGGTTAAACATATTTTTTTCTCGTTCCTAATAGAAAAATATTAAATACGTATTTTTTTATTTTTCTAAAATTGCCAAAATTTTGGAGTTATGAATTTTCGAAATTTTGAATTTTTAAAAGTAGACCTATTTTCAATAGCTTATAACTTTTAAAGTATTGAGTTTAGAGAAAAGTTGCCAAAGGAAGAAAAATTTGGTTTTTCTTTAACTTTTAAGAAATTTGAAAAAAAAAATTTTTTTTTAATTTTTAATAAAAAAATTTTTTTTTTAATTTTTAATAAAAAAAAATTTTTTTTTATAAACAAATTAATTTTTTTTAAATTTGGGCGTTATTAATTTTTATTTTTTTTTTATTTATTTATACCTGACAATATACAGAAATTTTTCCGAAAGAACTGAGATGGGCCGACTCATAGTTTTCATTCTATAAATTTTTCAATTTCGCCGTGCAAACTCTCAATTTGACATAATTCGCGTTGCGTCGTATTGTACCTATATTGGACTTGACTCCGACCCGTGATTACCTTGCGTTACATAGAAAAGCAAAATATTTTATTTTTTAAACTTGCGGAAAATTTTTATTTAGTGGACGCAATATACTTAACTTTTAAAATGTCATCAGTGAAATTCAAAAATAGATGTTGCAATCCTTTCAACGAACAGAATCATTTTAAACTGAAAGGTTTACGTCGTATATCATCCGTGGCTCTCGATAAATTTGGTTTCTTGGATTCCAATGACCTTGTGTGTGTTTCGTGTAGAAAAAAAATTAGTACTGCAGAATATGGTAAGTATAAAGTGAATTTTTCTTAAAAATTGTAATTAAAACTTTTCTTTAATGTATGTAGAATTTAATGACAACGATGCTGGTACCTTGTCGGAAAGTGATAGTTTTGAAGACAGTGACGATTGTTATTCACTTTATGAAGAAACAGACGTAAGTTCAGATTATGTGATACTTCAATGTAATTATTTATTATTACTAGTTACTCTAATATTAAATATATTTTTCTTTTAATTTTTAAGGACGATGAATCTGACTACAATTCAAAATTAATTCTAGAGCTGAAAGAAAAATTATCGAAAAAAGATACGAGTATTCAAGAAAAGATAAATATTTTAACATTAGTGCCAATGAATTGGAGTCTCTACAGAGCAGCCAAAGTAATGAACACGACTACATATTTGGTTCAACAAGCGAGGAATTTAAAAGTTAAAACCGGAATTTTGTCAATGCCAGAAAAGAAAAAAGGTTTAATTTTTATATTTTTTAAATTTTTGTGTCAGAAAAATAAGATAATAATTCATTGAAACATGAAAGAATTCAATATGATTTATGTAAATGTTTATAAAGGCAACGGTTTAGCAGAGGAGTCCGTGTTAAAAGTGAAACAGTTTTTCGAATATGATGACGTGAGCTCAATGATGCCGGGGCAAAAAGACGTTAAAAAAGTAAAAATAGGCGATCAAACTAAAACGGTTCAAAAGAGATTGATTATGGGAAATCTTAAAGATATTTTTAAGAAATTTAAAAATGAAAACCCCGATTTGAAGATCGGTTTCTCAAAATTTTGTTCTCTACGTCCAGAGCATTGTGTTTTAGCCGGTTCGGGTGGCACACACAGAGTATGTGTGTGCTCGATTCATGAAAATATGAAACTAATGATTTCAGGTAAATAATAAAACTGTAAAAATTGAATGTTTACTTATAAGCCCGCACGTAATAAAAATATTGAAAATTAATTAATATAATTAATGAAGATTGAATTTTTATATTAATTTTTAGATTTATTTTTTTAGATTTATTATTATTATATTATTATTATTATTTTAATTATATATATGATTTATATTCTGTTCAGGAAGTCATTTAATCAAATTAATGGGAATGGAAAATTGCACTCGCAATCGACATGAAGAGATTTTACTTCGCTTGATATGTGATGATCCGAAAGATAAATGTTATTTTGGGCAGTGTCAAAATTGTCCAAATAACAAAATTTTATCCACCGCTATATCTTTAGTTTTAAAGGAAAACAAAATTTCCAAAATCACACACAAAAAGTGGGTCTCAAATCCAAAGACAAGTTTGGAAACTGTGACTTTAACAAATTCACAGTTTACTAAAAATGTATGTGACACGGGGAGAATATTTCTTCATCACTCTTTCATAGCTGATCAGCAGGCTTCGTATTACAAATATATAAAAAATAACCTCAAAAGTGATGAAAGTCTAATTGTATGCGACTTCGCGGAAAACTATGCGTTTATTATTCAGAATGCGGTCCCTGGTTTCCACTGGAATAATAACCAAGCGACAGTTTTTCCCATTGTTTTTTATTACAAAGCTGAAAATTCAATTAAACATAAAACCTTGGTCATTATTTCGGATTGTTTGAAACACGACGCTGTAAGCGTATATGTTTTCCTAAAAGCATTGAATGAGTTTTTCTCGCAAAATTACCCACAAATTCGAAAATGCGTTTACTTCTCGGATGGAGCTCCCCAGCAGTTTAAAAATGTAAAACATTTCGCCAACGTTTACTTCCACAAGGAAGATTTTAGTCGATCAGCGGCTTGGAATTTTCATGCAACGGCCCACGGAAAAGGGCCTTGCGATGGAGCAGGAGGAACGCTAAAAAGAATGGCAAGGAGGGCAAGTCTCCAAAGGATCTCTGATGATCACATCACAACACCATTGAAATTATTTGAATGGGCAAAACAGGATTCATCGCTACCAAATATTTCTGTTTTGTACAGAACTTCTGGTGATTACGAGAGAGCAAATGCTTTTCTTGCAAATCGTTTCAAAGCCTGCAAGACAATTTCTGGGACCCAAAAAATACACAGCGTTGAGCCAGAAAACGATTATCAATTGAAGGTTAAGAAATATTCTTTTAGTGAAGAATATGAACTCGTTAATTTCTCAAAATCCGAAGGTAAACGTGCAGTTAAAAAAAAATTACAATAAGTAATGATTATTGTTAGAGTCGAATTTAGAAATTTTAATTTTAAATTATTAATTTTTAAATAAACTTTAACTTAACGTGTCCTTCGGACAAAGAAATTGTAAAGGTAGTGAATTCCCCCTCTACTTAGTTATTGTTTCAACTAAGAGGTTGAGAACCCTACTCTTGTGTGAAATGAGAAGATAGGAAAATTGTTAGGATGTTTGAATTAAACCACGAAATGAAGATAATAACAATTAAATGTATATATTTTACCCAAAGTCCCTATTACAGATAAATCTAATTTTATGTGTAAGAAGAGTAAGTGTATCTGTGTGAATGGAA